GCTTGTAGGGAATACTAAACATGTTGCTGAAGATTGACTCCAGGATTCATGTACATGACCACAGGGACACTGGTCTGTCAAGGAATGATGCATAGTGGGACACCCTGTGTGACATATGGTGTTTGATATTAAGTGACTTTGGTCCTTGAGATTTTCCACTTGTCCTATGTTTTTATGTAGGCGCCCTTTAAATAAACTTTGATTACAAACAATTACATAAGATCTAAGATTTAAAAAGATTTCTCTTTGATTACAGAGACAAATTATTAGCTTATCATGCCCATCCTCATCTGTTGATACCCGTGAAGGTCCGGGTTAGAATTGATCTTCAGCAACCCATGCTTGTCGTAAGAGGCGACTAACGGGATCGGGTGGTCAGGCTCGCTGACTTGGTTGACACATGTCATCGGTTCGCAATTGCGCAGATCGATGCTCATGCTGTTGATCCCTGGATTGTCTGGTCCAGACTCGATTATTTACAGACCGCCGCCATATAGCTGGAATATTGCTGAGTGCGGTGTAAAACTAAACTCACTCACTCACTCATCTGTTGATGTGTGACTGAGTAAATAAGGTTTAACACCACTGTTAGCAATATTCCAGCAATATTATAGCAGACGACAGCAGAAATGGGCTTCATACATTGTACCCATGTGGGGACTCCATTTATTGATTATGGCCTTGAAATCAGACAGTTAGATGTACTAAATTATTCCAAAATAATGAAGTAAGGAAGAAAAGCCACAAATCATATTTCTTTTGGTGAAAGTGTGCTTGTAATTTTGAAAGTTTTGGGAGACTGATGCAAAAAATGGTTACTTTGAACATTTTCTTTGTAACCTTTGGCCATTTTGTAACCATCTTTTATGCCAGTACATTATAAATGTTTCTACTCAACCACGACAGCATTTGAAAGAAAATATTCCACCTGAATCTTAGTACAGTTAGTCAGGCTTTGGCTGGGAATAACACAAGCAGGACAAATTTCTAACCAATATAGATTATCAGTCGAGTGGAATTTCTTTATTTTTTGTGTTTTCTATTTTGATGCTTTAAGACTGTAATTGCAACATAATTGACGTTCAAAAGTTCTCACATACTCCTGTGGTAATATTAGCAAGTCTTGATCAATGAACTATAATTAAATCTTCTACGTAAAGTTTCTGGCGGATGTTTGGAAGGCCTGAAACACAAGGGACAGCACTGCCACAGCTAATACAGTCAGTTCCTTCCAGACCTTGGTGAAATAACAAAAGAACATCGTGCATGAAAAAAATCTCTTTCAAATTGAATGTCAGGCCAACTTTGCTCTGCGGCTTTGGAAAGCAGCACCCTATTGTTGTCGTGAATGAAAGAAAAGTGAGTCTCCCTATCCGTCACTGTAAGGCGTCATTCATGGTGTCATCTATCCTCCCTCGTCACCAACAAATGGGCAGACATGTCCTGGCGAAATCTCGGGCACTTTCCAGGGTCTTATTTTTCGGGATGCCTGGCTCGTAATTATTCTGGATTAGGTTTAATCTACTTTGGTGGCTGCTTTTGAAAGAGAGCTGGTTGTGTCATTTAGTGATGTTCTGCTACTAATCGTGGCACAGGGTACATTTGTGTACATCCTGTATTGTGTTAGCATGCGGCACCATTTTAATGGCCTATTTGTAGGAGCAGCAGACGATGATGGTATATAGCTCCAATCAAACTACCAGAGGTGCCTTCTAAAGTGATGAGCACTTACGTAAAATCCATAGCCATCAATAGCGTTATCGTTCGGAAGGAGATTGATAAAGACAGATCAATGTTTTTAAATTAGCTTCGATATGTTGAGACTTGTTTTCTTACTTAGACCAAATTCACAGATTGGTGATCAACCTGGAGAATAAGCAGAAAATTGTCTGTTTTTTATATTTGGATGCATGTTGAATTTGAAAACCTTGTTACTTCATGCTCTCTTTTAAGTGCATTGGGATGTAATTTGGAAACATTTAGAAGTTTGCTAAGTGTGATATAAAATACATTGTTGAAAGTGCTTGACAGTCCTCTGTAAAGCCTGGTTTCACCGCTCACTGTTGACGTGGAAAACCTGATTTTCAGACGATTCCTCATTGAAATGTCAAGCAATTTATTTATCTGGATAAGTGAAGCAACCCTTGCTTGCTTCGCCAAGTCAGTTTGTCTAATGTTAAGGGTGTTCAAAGAGTTTGAAGATTTTAGGCTTTTTAAGGAGTATCAGTATATGTTATCACTATCTATAAGGACCCGTGAAAGATCCTGGTTGGAATTGGTGTCTAGCATGAATGTTCCAACTGAAGGGAAAGGGTGGTCTGACTGCACCTCACTGTATCTTTATTTTGTTATGATGCTCGTGATGTTAATCACCCATGAAGATCCGGGTTAGAATTGGTCTTCAGCAACCCATGTGTGGAATAAGAGCTGGGCGATTAACAGGATCGTGTGGTCAGGCATGCTGACTTGGTTGACACATGTCATCGTATCCCAATTATGTAGGTCGATTCTCATGATGTTGATCACTAGATTGTCTGGTCCAGATTTGATTATTTACAGACCATCGCCATATAGCTGAAATATTGCTGAGTGGGGCGTTCGATAACAACCAAACCAACACTTAACTATGAGAACTGATAATGTCAGTCTGTGATTTTAGTTACTCATACAAAGTATGAGTTAAGTGAGATTCTGTTTAGACTGTTAATAATAGGCCATGTAATATAATAATATGAAATATTAATCAAAATATTTTATCTCTATTTTGAAAATGTCTTTGGTGAGGTGAGGTGAAATTGGGTTTTACGTCGTGCTTGAGAATATTTCGCTCATATGACGACGTGCATGCATGTGTATATGTATGTGCGGCTGCTTGTACTTGTACTAGCCCAGACTTAAGCTGGTTTTATAGTGCTAGCCCACTGAGATACCATACCGCAGTGAAGCAAGAATACCCCACTCAGACACATTATACTGACTCCGAGCCGACCAGTCCTTATTGTACCCATTAATGCCGAACGCCAGGCAGGGACCAACAAGTACCATATTTTAACGTCTTTTGGTATGACGCGGTCGGGGATCGAACCCGCGACCTTCCGCTCTCCGGGCGGACGCTCTAACCACTACACCACAGAGGCGGTCCACAAATGTCTTTGGAAGACACATGACCTGAAACAGAAGTGGGACAACTGAAAGGTCTATTATGTTCTGCCATATTCTCACATCTTTCTGCAATGTGTTTTTGTGTTTATTATCTCCCTTTTGTGTGGTGTTTGGTATGCATAGCTGGCAACTTTTTTTGTATTTGTTGAAAACTTGCTGCTAAATTCAATTTTCTCCTCAATTCATGCAAATATTATGCCATTATTGATGAAAAATGAAACAAGACTAAATTTTCAAAAACATCAAGGAAAGAAAGGGTAATTTTATAGCTGTGCATTGTCTGCTTCAACCATTGGATCTCTGTTGCCTCTGTCAAATCAAGATGCTGTACTCGTAATATTGGAATTTGCTGTTATGAAGTTGAAATACAGGAAATATGTGATAATATTGTCAACTAAATTTCAGGAATAAGAAGGCTGCATTTTACTGCAGACAATTAGGCTCGTAATGAAATATGTATGATTTAGAGATGTTGGCAGTTATGGAAATAGCTCACATGTAAGGAATACATCTTGAGGCATAAAATAAAATAAACATTTGAACGTTTCCTATGGTGTCGCCATCATTTTCCCTGGGCCCACAAAGTAAAGATGGCTGATCCAGGCTCTTCAAATACAAGATCATCCAGCAGCCATTTGACCACTAAATATTGGCTCAGCAAGATAAATAGTTTACAATGTTAATAAGCCACAGCCTCCAACAATCGAGCCAATTTCCTAACGAGCATATTTGCTGTGGATAATAGGATCATAGCTCGTTAATTTTGGGCCGAGTGTAACACTCCGCCTTGTCAGACATGGGAGTCATATGACAGTGTAAAAAAGAAATTGAAGTTGTGGTGAATGAGTACAGTATTATTGTAGTTGTCAACTTGACATTTTGTGGCACAGACTGAGACAGGCCACGCCAATATTTTCATGTTCCTACAATTCTGCCACTTTGCAAACATGTGTAGCTGAATGTACCATTATTTTATATTTTTTTTTTTTTTTTGTATTTTAATCATTTTGTTTGTTTTTTAGTCTGTTTCATGAGAGTTTTCTTGAAGTCGTATCATTTACAATCACAAACATTAAAACTTCACTAATTGATCGGTAGGAACAGATCATTGAGAGAAGTAGAAATTCAGGATTCCAAGTCCTACTGCACCTACAACTATCATTTAACCTTGAAAATTATAATGATGTAATATCATGTCTGTGTTCATGAATCTTGTACAAGCTGATCTCATCAAATATAAAGAACTGATAGCAATGTGGCCACATATTTCAGCTTGTGTATAGTGAAAGTTAGCACTGTTGTCATGGTGATGTACAGTGTACGTCAATGTAAGTCTGGATGGGTTTGCTTCAAATGATGGAGCCTGGACCACACTTTGGAATATCACATGTTACTTGAGCAAGAAAATTATACCTTTGTATTATTGATATTTTGGTGCAGACAAATTTATTAGTAGCCTTCTGTCTTGTGTGATTATCAACATATACTCATGAAAACGAGACCCAAGAAGGTCCGGGTTAGAATATCTTCTGTAACCCATGCTTGTCGTAGGAGGCGACTTACGGGATCGGGTGGTCAGGCTCGCTGACTTGGTTGACACATCGGTTCGGTTCCCAATCAATGGTCATGCTGTTGATCACTGTATTGTCTGGTCCAGACTCGATTATTTACAGACTGCCGCCATGTAGCTGGAATATTGCGGAATGTGGCGTAAAACTAAACTCACTCACTCACTCATGGAAACGTATAAGGGAAGACCTGAAAGTACAAGTGTTCCTTTATTCTTTTTAAAGTTTCTTCACAAGGTATTATAGCACTGTGAGTGAAATTCTGGAAATAAACAAAGGAACACTTGTACTTTCATGTGTTCCCTTATTCGTTCCCATATGTATATTTCAAGCTTATGTTTAAATAGATATCACCATATCGAAGGTTATGAGATCAGAATTCAAATATATTCCTAAAACAATCAACATAGGGATCAAAGGTGGCTCAGGGGTGCCATCATTTCAGTTTGTCCAGTTCCTTATCTATACAAGGGTTACCTTTTGGGTTCAAATCCCAATGGATTTTAACTAGGGCTTAAAAATAATGTTGTGGTTCCGATTACCCGATCGACCCTTGAATTCTGGTGCTGACCCTATTTTTTTTTAAGCGGATGAATCAAAATAAGCTTTCAGATACCACTTTTACCCGACACCGACGGACTTAGGTCATTCTAATAGAGAAAGTCGACATGATGGTCGCATGCTTGATTGGATAAATAATTGCACATTGATAAATGTGTTATTAGTTTGTACTTTACTTCTAAAAAAATGCTATTAAAAACTACCTACTGTAAATTTTAAAGAGGGATAATCGAAACCACTACTCTCTTTTTTTTATTTGGCCTAGGTTTCTAAACATCCCTGGGGCTCAGAGTGATGTTGTTTGATTTGATTAAAATCAGGATTCATGGGTCATGTGACCTACTTGTAGCACACTACATTGACATGCAGCTATTTAGAGGTTGAGTCATGGCACTGGACACTAAATCTGTCTATGGATTTCTTGGTTTGGACCAAACTGTAGTGACTGAATGTTAGAATCGGAGACTGACAGTCTCATCTGTATTCAGATCAGACTCGAAACATTTTGATTCTTGAATTTGGACAATAGGGGTTGGAAGTCTTCAGCATCACTTGCTTGTGATCTACTGGAATCTGGAGGTCTGTTTCACTGACTTCAATCATGCATTTCACCACCTCAGCTGTAAAATGGGTACCCGTGAGGATGTGAGTGTTTAGTTCATTGAGCCTATCAGGCAGCATGGCTGTATGATCCCCAGGGAGTTGAAAAAGTATCAGAAAGTATGATAGTGTCCTGTGACCGGGGATAATAATGTATGTAGTGCCGTGAGCAGGCAATGTGCCTGAATATGAGCGCCATATAAGCGGACTATTCCTATTACTACTACCTCCCAGTTACACAAATCAGTGCTCATGTTGTCAGTCACTTGATTGTTCAGATTATTTGCAGACTGTGGCTGGAATATTGTGAGTGAGTGAGTTTGCTTTTACGCCGCTTTTAGCAATATTCCAGCAATATCACGGCGTGGGACACCAGAAATGGGCTTCGCACATTGTACCCATGTGGGAAATCGAACCCGGGTCTTCTGCGTGACGAGCGAACGCTTTAACCACAAGGCTACCCCACCGCCCCTGGAATATTTTGAGCAGTGGTGAATCAGCAAACAACACCAGACATCTATCACCTGCCTCACTATAGATTTTCCTCCCCATTGAACAGAAAACTGCTCAAAATGATGTTAAACTCGAACTACTCACTCTCTCACAGAATGATAGATACATAAACATGTCTGAGGGTGGGCGGGATTCGTAAAGTTAACACATTAGCTCCAGACTTGTGCTCACAGAGTCTAGGCTCGGCATGTAGAGCACATAGCCTGACTTGAAGAACCCCTTCAGATGTAACACAGCCTACATTGCCTCCCCCTGCTGACACCCTTCACTGTAAATAGGACCGAGGAAGTGTGGGAGGGATATGCATGTAACTGATTAGGTCACGACTGGTTTACATTTCGTGTTTCTCCTCACCCTACTGGGTGTATTTTTACTGGGAATTCACATTTGAGAAAGTTTATTTTATATTCTTACCGAACTCTACCTCCCTGCCATGACATAGTTGTTGATGAGGGTGAACTATTCAAATAGTTGCGATATGACAGATGTGGCTGCAAGAAGTGTTCAGAACAATACAGATCAGTTTTATGTCTGAATTAGTTTATGTGTACATGTAAATGATTAAATCAGCAATGTTACTTTGAGCAATTTGAGAAGTTGAGAAGTCCTTTTCTTAGGCCAGGAAATGGCTGACTTTGTGTGTTGGCGATTCGGTGCCTGACTCTGATTGAGTGTCGGTTCGTATCCTAGTACAAAAGTACAAGAATCTGTACTTAACTGAGAAAAGGTAATCCCAAATTTAACATGTGTTATAGACTAGCAACTAGTCTCTGAAATGAACATATTTTACAGAAAAAAGCTCATAGTAAAAAAACAAAAAACACAATAAAGCCATGAGACTTCCTTGGAAATGTAGATTTGCCACATTTTCTAGACTTGTGTGGGCTTTCTTGGATATATTTGCTTCAGGGTCTGTACGACAGACTACATGTGTTACAGAAAAGATAAGTATACTTTTCTTTTGAGAGTAATACCATGTGTGACCATTTCACTTGCGAATCGTAAATATCTGTGCTTGTCTTCAAGAATTCCAATCTAAAAATGTATTTATGAAACATTGATTAAAATATTTTTATCTCTATTTTGAAAATGTCTTTGGAAGACACATGACCTGAAACAGAAGTGGGACAACTGAAAGGTCTATTATGTTCTGCCATATCAGGGCTCGATTTAAGAGATGTTATCCTACTTGCACCAGGTGCAACCTAAGATAAAAACCTCATTGCACCAGCCAAATTCCAGTTACAACAGTAGTGTGTTAAAACGTCAGAGGTTTCGGTGCACATAAACATATATCCCTGATGTAGTACCCATGAAACCATAGAAACAGAGACACAGCTGATCCTGTTTACAAGAGCTGACATAGCAGAGACGTGTCTATAAATAGCAATGTTTCAGTGCCATAACTATTCAAAGTTTAGAAGAAAAATGAGCTGACATATTTATGCTTATAATGATAGATTTATTGTTTTCTCAAAAATTGACTTGCACCTGGTGCAAGTTAGACTAATAACTAGGTTGCACTTTGTAATATTGGGTTGCACCGGTGCAAGTAACAAAACACTAAATCGAGCCCTGCATATTCTCACATCTTTCTGCAATGTGATGCCTTCTGAACTTTGGTTAGTAATGTTAAAAGGAGAAGCAACAAAAAGTTACTCTCAGATGTTTGATTTTCAGAGACAATTACAAATATAAACATGTATAATTATCCCTATCATGGCTTCTGTTTATGGAGACTTGTGAAGGAGGAGATAGGGACAGGAGAGGTGTGGGGAAGGGCAGGTCACTCTCGAGGCACAATAATATTGACTTCCACTATGAATAGATAAGCTTGGGGCATTTAATTATACAATTATTTAGGAAGCTTCGGGGCAGTGTATATATGCTCAACTCAGTAAATAGAAGAAAGCAAATTATCAGTATATTACTCTGCAATAAAGATCACTCTCTCCCAAAATACACATCATATGAGCGAAATATTCTCAAGCACGACGTAAAACCCAATTTCACCTCACCTCTCCCGAAATGGGGAAAGACAGGCTGTGTTTCTTTACTCAGGCTAAATTCTTTGCATATGGAAACATATTCATTATGTTTTAATGTCATAAATGCCAAATGGAATGTGTTCACTAGAATATTAATTAGCATCTTTGCAGAAGGACTAGAGACTGAATTATCACCAGACTTTCTAGTACATGTGCTCATGTAATACCAATTATTATTTGTATCACCATAGTAACAACAAAGTGCTTTGTAGGAATATAGTGTAGGGTAAATTCTCTACATCCAGACAAATGGTTGTAAAACATAAGAATTTCATGATGACCAAAATCATTCTCAAAATGAGGTGATTTGAGGTGAAATAGGTTTTAATGTTGCATTTAAGATTTTTGACCTTATTTAGTTACCTCAGCAGCTTGTGGGTGTTGCTGCCTGTGTAAGTAAAATATTATGTGGGGGGTTGCTGCCTGTCTAAGTTAAATATTATGTGGTTTTATATTGTTAGACCGTCACGCTGCAGTTTAACATAGATACCCCACAAAGACACTGACTAACTTATTCCTGTCCTTCTAGTCCAGGCTAGCTATTCTCGAAAAGGTTCGTAGCCTACGTTCATTAAGGCTACAAACGTTTTGAGAATAAGGGTCCTGGTTTTATTCCCCAAATGCAAAATGCCAATCAGGGTAACATTAATGTCCATCTTTTAACATCTTTTTGTTTGACTTTTTAATCGATTCACTGACCTTTGGGGTGGTGAGGTAGCCCAGTGGTTAAAGCATTTGCTCGTCACGCCTTAGGCCTGGGTTCGACTCCCCACATGGGTACAATGTGTGAAGCCCATTTCTGGTGTCCCCACTGTGATATTGCTGGAATATTGCTAATAGTAATAGCGGCTTAAAACCCAAATCACTCACTCACTCTACTAACCTTCGTCTCTGTGGCGAGCGGTGGGGTAGCCTAATGGTTAAAGCGTTGGCTCGTCATGCCGGGCGACCCGGTTAAATCCCCACATGGGCACAATGTGTGAAGCCCATTTCTGTGTCACTGATGTTGCTGGAATATTGCTAAAAGCGGCGTAAAACCAAACTCAGTCAGTCAGTCAGTCAGTCAGTCGTCTCTGTGGCCAAGACGCTATCCAATAGATCATTGAGGCAGCTTTAAACTCTCTCTCACTGAGACAATTGTTGGGTTTTTCCAAAGTGGCCTGCATCAATTCAGGCTTTCCTCCCACATTAATCTGACATGCCACTAGATTTCTGTAAAAAAACGGTGAAAAACTAAACTCAGCTGGCTCACTCCCTGTTGTTGCTGTGACTTAATACAATCCACAGGAAGTGAGAATCAATGAAAGTGTTGACCTCCAGTTCCTGTCTGTACAATTACAAAAACAACAGAAACAGGAAACACAGCCAAGACCATATTTTGATTTCCATCCTAGCCACTGAGGCGTTATCAGTCTCTGTAGTTAATGTGGCACACTGACATTTGACTACCACACTGTGATAGCAGTGGTTGCTGTAGTCCTGAAGGCTTTCCGTGACAACTGGAGCATAGCAATCAATTCATTTGTTTCTCTTGATGACACAGAACTCATGAGGCATGTGT